CTCTCGGCAGCCAGCTTCATCAGCTTAAAGGCCGGCCCGCAAGCAGAGCGAAGGAACCCGACCCTCACTTTCCTTCTCGCCACTGTGAAAGGAGGAAATCGCCTCTCCTTTCCTCCTCGCCATTTTCCGATTTTTTTTGTTTTCTTGTTTTTTTGCCGGCTGCCTGTCTTTTTTTTTTTTGACAAGTTTGGGGTGGAGGCAATGAAAGCTTCGAGGATTTGAAAAGATTATCCAGAAGCCAGCCGGCACACCTGCAACAAGGAGCTGAACCAACCGAGTAGCTGTTTCGAGCGAGCTTGGCACTTGCTGTTCCCATTGAGTTGCATTGGCTCTTTTTTAGCATTGGTTTGGAGGACGATTCTTGCTGTTGTAAAAGCAAAAATACGTTGTTCTGCTCAAAGAAGTAGTCATTGAATTATCAATTTTAATATAAATATCTGATTTGGCATCTTTCGTTGTTTAGGCAGATTCATGGCGACAACGGGAAGTACGAGCGGCGTTTTCTGTATATCAGGGATGACGCTCCATAAACCAGTGGTTTTGAATTATTATATTTCGTAAACCGGCAGAGGTGACGGAGGAGCCCATCCGTAGTGGGTCTAGCACTTTTCGGTGTAGAGCGTTTTGCTGTAGGGCATTTCGGTGCGGACTTTTTGGTGCACATACATTTCAGTATATGGACTTTTTGCTGCAAAGCCTTTTCGGTGTGGGACTTTTCGGTGCGCGGATATTTCGGTGCATGGACATTTTGATGCATGGACATTTGGCGCTATGGTTTGCTCGCCGGTATCTCTTTTCCAACGTACGCAGACACGCTTCACATCGTGTTTTGCGTTGAGTTGATAGAAATAGTCTCCTCTATAAGGTTTTGGTTTTATTATTGGTTCTGCGTGTAGGAAAGGACCCGAACAGCAAGACGTTTGAAGTTGTTTGTGTATTCAGAACAATTTTGAATACCTTCAAATGCGCCTCCTCCGCGTAATCGCATAGCTCCGATTCTTAATAATAAATTGTTATGACCTCGTATACAACAAAAAAAAATGTAATTATCACTTGTAACTCATTAGGGAATAAAGTAGGCGTGTACGGGTACAAAATAAGTGTAATCAAATCAAAGATCGATTTGAATCAAGTAAACAAGCCGAATTTTGTGAATGCTAAATCTATTTTATTTGGTATCAAATGTTTGCTCATTCTCGTACAAAAAAGAACAGTGACCACAGATCATACACAGCGTGTGATCTTTGGTCAACGTCTCCTTCCATGCCGTAATGATGTCTCCGGACGTAAAGAACTGCCTTACAATCGTGCTTATACTGTTCGATTTTTTTTTTAACGACTGGACATTTTTTAAAAAAGACGTCAGAGTTACACAATTGCGGTTTCTGCCTTATCTGTAGTCATCAAAAACACCCAATCATTCATTTTTAAAGAGATGTAGTGCACGTGAAGTGGTTCACGGCGTCCTAAAAAGCCCAATTTGGACGCGAATCGAGTTACCGCAATCTTTTCGGCCGTCGCGCTCCTCGCCCCTTCTACATTGGCGTTGTCACAGCGATGCGCATGATTTGTCGCTTTGGCTTCATGGCGTTAGGCTGTGCCACGCGGAGATGGAGGCCACATAAAATCAGAACTGTATTTTCGCGCCCAAATTAGGAGGACGCCATATCAGGACGCCATATAATTGTGTACGCGCGTTACATCTTTTTAAGAATGGACGGTTTGATGGCTTGCGATTATGGCCAACAACTTTCTAAATACACGATGCCGTTTTTTTTTATAATCAAAAAGTTCATTAACAAATGTTATTTAATCAGTCGGTTTTTGTTGCGTTCTTTCTGGAACCCAATCTTCGCCTGGTGGTATAGCTCACATCCACAAAACGTTAATTTGCACGTTTTTTCTATTATCTAGTAGGTGAAAGAAACAAAAATAAAATAAAGTTGTGTATAAAACAGAGGGCAGTTGTTTTCTGATATAAATAAATCGTGGGGCACGCGTCTAGCATGCATCTCTTTTTTTTCCGGCCTATAAAAGCAAATCCCCGGACATTCGAAATTGAGTTTATGAGGGGGCGGGCGCTTTATCACTGGGTATTTTGTCATGTCTCATGAGCTTTATTACTAGTCAGAAGGACGCCACGCGAGCCGTGTCACGTTGCAAACAGCTGATTCGGGTGTTTCTCAACGAGCTCTAGAACTTTCCAATTGACATTTCGGTTCTCAATACATTTAAAAAAGTTTGGTACTTAGTCCTAAACATTTAATTTATTAAAATAATTAAAAATACTGCAACTCTCGCAATACGTTTGCTAACAACATAAAGTTGGTTTCATTAGCGTAAAGTGACTGCGCTTTAATTTCGCGTTACAGAGATTTGTAAACGGCTTTCACTTTTATGCTTGGTCTTTAAAGATTCGTGAAAAGCATTCAAGACTTTATCTGTCAAGCTGCGTTCGCGTACAGCGCGGCCTCCTCAGCAAGTTGTTCCCTCATCGAAGACGACAATGAATAAAAGGTACGATCAAAATCTAAAATCCTGAATAAAGCGAACGTTTAAAATAATTCTAAAAGTGTTATTTGATTTTATTTCTGCCATATTCAAATTTCAACACTCGTCGCAGGCAGCATGAAAGGCAGAACTGCACTCTTGGCGCAAACGAGTGCCCAGTCAACGGTCCTACACTCAAACACGCATAATCACCCGACCTGTTTGAAAAATAAATAATTTCCAGTAATTTTGGTGGAAAAGGATAATTTTCTACTGAGCGTGATTTTTTGTGGACCCAAAAGTCCTGTAGCCGAGATCGGTAGTTCACAGCTTCAGGAAGACGAAAAACGACGGATGCACTATTTCCCGCGGAAGTACTGTTTTGACGTTGAATTCGACATAAAATTGTATTTGCACAAATTGGTGTCACGATGTCGAACTTACTTCATTACTTTTCTTTTAGAGTCAACATAACCAGGCAAAATCTACAGATATTGCATATTCTATTTTAATTGGCGTGAAGCGCGAAAGACAAGTAGGGACATAACGAACACAATAGAGCTCTCATTTCTACTGCATTTCTTTCTTTCTGCACTTGTGGGCAGTTAGCCCGCATGACTATATTAAAAAATTGCCAAGTCGTTTAAGCTTCCCTCTTTTTATAGTTTGTTTCATAGATTAATTTGTAATTGTGGCGAATCCCGGCTGGGTTCAGCTAGAGATCTCGCACGTGTTCAAAGAAACATTTCGGCATGATTTCCCGCTTGGTGATGACGTTGAGCTGGCCGCTTCTCCTCTTCTTTTGTAAGTAGGCCGGGCAACGCCAAGCGCCTAAATTAGCCAAGCAGCCCCAAAACTTGCGGTAGTATAATCCTGTTTTTTTTTTTTTGGAGATGGTCGCTGGCCTTCGCCCACCCTGACAGGGCCCCGAACAATTATGCAAGGGATGCAGAGGCAATCTGGGCATTCCATTTCTCATTCTTCGAACAAATGGGAACAGAACAGAATGAAAACTTCGTAATACCTGCTGTCTTTTAATAAATGACATAATATGCTACTATTGCTAGTTGCACTATCTTACGCGAAGAAAATTGCGATTTTGCGGTTCAATCTCCGTGTTTCCCGCTCTCTTTGCTGATACACCAGATATTTGTCGGCTGTCGAGTTTTTAGTAACATTTGTTGACAAGAACTAAATGCACGTTTGGCCACGAAGAATTTTTTTTCAAAATCTGAAGATAGATGAAATATACCATAAACCGTTTCACTTTTTATTGAAGTTTGTTTTCTATTCTTCTTAGTTGCTTCAACGAGGCGGCCGTTACTCTAGAAAACACCTGTAGTACGAACATGTATATTATGCGCCAGAAATGGTCAGACTGTGTTCATTTCGATACATGACTCTATTCTCAAAATCCAACTAATTTTATATGCTTCGCCCTCTTACTGCAATATTTTTGACTTGTATCTACTCGCCATTATTATTTTGAACAAAAGAAAACACGAAATAGTGATATAATCACTCTTCAGTGTGCCGTTGTTAGAACGACCAATTTTCAACTCTCTGGGTAGAGCTCAAAGTTCAGATAAAAATACCCACCCTTTTTTCCTTCTGCTGCGATGTTCAAGTTCCGTTCACTCGAGATAAATATGCGGTTTTGTAGCGTATGTGGCCGCATGCGGAAGTGTCTGAGTGTGTTTTAAAGCTGCAAAAAGAAAGTAAACAAAAACAAAAAAAAGGAGAAAAGCAAGCCAGCCCGAACCCTTCCGAGCTCATATCCAGCCTGCCTAACTAATCCCTGGTGTTTGGGATTAAAGCAAAGAACCTTGAAGGGTTACAGAGATTTTGTCGGGGGGCCGGTAAGCCCATTAGCACTCGTGCGAGAAGGCCGTAAAAAGCGAGGAGGAAAATGGAGGAGGAAAGGGGAGGAGGAAAAAAAGAAAAGAGGAGGAATCTTCTGCCACGCTGAAGAAAATTTTGAGTGCCCGCCTTTAACAGCGGACTTCTGGACCTCCATCGCCAATGACGTCTACCTCGGGATAACGGCGCATTGGATCGACGACGACTGGATGCTTCGATCGGCAACATTGCAGGTGAGAAACGTACCTGAGCGCCATACAGCGGAACAATGTGCCAGTGAGGTATTCGAGACTGCTACAGATTGGGGAATCGTTGAAAAGGTAAAAGCTGTCTGTACCGATAACGCCCGCAACATCTGTCTTGGGGTGGAGAGAGCAAACTTTCAGAGTCTGAAGTGCGCAGCTCACACGCTTCAGCTGTGCGTACACAAGGCGCTCAGCGTGACGGGTGTGGAGCGACTGCTAGCCGCCTGTCGTCGTACTGTGGGTCACTTTAAGCACAGTTCGAACAACCAGGCCGTCCTTTCAAAACATGCCGCTGAACTCGGAGCACCTAAGAAGAAGCTTCAGCAGGACTTCGCAACACGGTGGAACAGCACGTACATCATGATAACCAGCCTGCTTGAACTGAAGGAGCCTTTGCGCCGCTCCATGGAGGACAGCAGTACCATTGAATCGTCGATTCCCCACCTCACAGACGTCGATTGGGACATGTCGGAGCAGCTTCGGGAAGTTTTGAAGCCCCTGCTCGACATTACTGAGCTCCTTGGAGGGGACAAGTACGTTACTCGGTCTGTACTTATTCCAGCCTTAAAACTGCTAAAGAATAAAATGAAGACGAATGACTGTGACCCTGCCTTCATCTGCCGCTTCAAGGCCATGCTGGTGGACTCTATCGATGAGAGGCTTCGCGCGTGGCCGCAATACAACGACTATGAACTGGCAACGTGTCTCGATCCTCGTTTCAAGAGCCTCGCATGCATCGAAAAAGATCGCCGCGAACTTGTGTGGGAAAGGCTTTCCCAGCTAACACATGCGTCTTCGGCCGATTCTACTGATCTAACGCCCAAGAAAAAAAGAAAATACGTTTTCTCGGAGGAAAATGAAGAACCCACCATCTCCTGCCAAGTGTCGCTTTATCGATCGATGGCCGAGGTGACGGACGATGAACTGGACCCACTACAGTGGTGGCAAGCTCAGGGCTCCCTGTTTCCTCAAATTGTGCCAATTGTAAAGAGTGTGATGTGTGTCCCAGTCACCTCAACGCCCTGCGAGCGTCTGTTCAGCGCAGCAGGGATGATCGTCAACACACAAAGAAGCTCGCTCCTGCCGGAAAATGTCAACAAACTTCTTTGCCTCCGCAGCTGGGGTTGTGATCTGTGAGTGCGTTACATCAACGTTTATTCTCAATTCAGTTTGTATATATGCGCCGTTTATCATACAATAAAACAAATTGTAAGGACAAAATGTCTACTTTTGCTTTTTACTAAAGTCAACCGATTAATCGATTAATTAATCGATTAAAGGGTAGCGATTAATCGGGTTAAAATTTTTAATCGACGCCCAGCCCTACTTTGCAGAAGTGTGATGTTTTGCGGCTGCAGTATTTGACGCGTTCTACTACATGCCTTTTTTTAATAACATCAGTAAGGTACGGAAAGGGCGATGGAACGCCGGCGTGGAAAACTTGCGCAGAGTGCCTCGGATCCATGCGGCGTCGAAGAGTCCACAGCCGTGCAACAGCATCCAAAGAAGCAGAAGGTAAGTCGTTCGCTGTGCTTTTACCACGGGCTTGGCCGTGCTTTTAAAGAATTATCTACGTCGTCTCACCAATGCGTTTCTGCTAATTTATACCTTAAGCTGCCTTTACTGTGATTACAAACACTTGAATAACAAAGTAGATTAGGCAAATAATGTTTCCGAAGATTTGCGGTGGCGAAATGACAAATCGGCGACAAAATCGTGAGCCAACTACATTCGGATGTCGGGTGCCAGGTTGCTGCCCTGTCTCGTCCGTGGCGTAAGGCGCCGCCGGGGCTGTCTGCACGTGCGATCGTATCGCTCGTGTAGGGGTCCCTGGCGACGTCGGGTGGCGCGTTCGAGGCGGGGCATTTACTTTTTGCGACTACTAATTCGGCCTAATTAGTTACGCTTAAGAGGGGGCGCACCTCAGAGCCCCATAGAGAATACATGAGGTTTTTCACCAAATTAAGAAAATTCTCACATAATAACGGCTGCGCGGATCTTCTTGAAAATTTCGGCTTTAAAGACATTGAGTCATTATCGAGACACTAAGCGCAACAAATGTTTCATCATAAATTTAATTATATTCTTTGAAAAACCATGAAAATGGTCCAAATCGGCTAATTCGACACTCTTGCGTTCGGAGCGAATTTACAAAATTATCTAAATTCAAACATAAGAAGTATTGCGCTTAGTGTCTTCTAAATTTATTACGAAATCGAATAATATTCAAATTATTCATGTAAGTCGATTTGTTCCTTAACTACAGCAAATATAAAGAACCAAGGTGTCGGTGCTTGTTTTCGTCGTTTTTAAGGTACCTCTCTCTTCCGTGCGGTGGCGCTCGCTGTCCGCGAAATGCGAAATCGTCCGTTCGGAGATCGGCCGGATCGGCACTGTGCGAGGTGTTCTTCCGCGGCCGTATTCCGCGCCCGTATCCTGTTTCATTCTGCACGCCGAGGCGTCAGTGTGCGTGTCTTGCTTTCCTGGTTCTCGCTGGGTAGGTCTCCGTGTTTTCGCAAGTGGCAAATTCACCTTGGAGCTATGGGTCGAAGACAACCGTCCTGTGGCAAGCGGACCGCGAGGTGTTCCACAACCTCGCGGTCCGTCAACGCGTTGTGCTTGTTTCAACTTTTTTTCTTTTAAAAACGGGCTTTTTTTTTTTTGACGCAAAAGTTTTATTTTATCGTTATCCTTCACACAAACGTCCTTCGGCCTTGGGGTCGTGGAAATCGGGGATGAAGCGTGCACAGAGTAGATCGTTGTTTTCCTCCTTTTTTATTTTTCACAAACGTCCTGTGACCTCCGTACGGTTCGTGGTCACCGGAATCTAACGCGGGGAAAAACGGGTCGCCTGCTCTGTAGTCAGGGTATTCCTAGGGGAGGGTGATAACTCGCTGTTCTTCTGGAAATTCACATATCACCCAAAAAGGTGACATGGGTAATGATTACGGCATGTTTTTTCCGGTGTTTATTTTTGAGCGAAAATCGGTGTATGTTTTTCGGTGCTTATTTTTTAATCACCAGTGTATTATGGGTTGAACGTCTTGTGATGACGCTAAAAAGCGTTGATAACCAAAGAAAAATGCGATTGGACAAGAACATTTCAAATTTCCAATTCTATTCACATATCCATTACGCTCTTCTCGTGGGAGCATCTATCCTGACGAAAAATGCCTAAGTCATTGAGCTGTGAACGCATACTCAGTGTACAATCTTTCGGCCTAGAGAGGTATTGCGCACGCACGAACGCGTTTCACAGCCCAGTAGACGAAGTTTGTGCCACCCAGAAGGCGAGTTTTTGAATGGTCTGCAGTAGGCAAAAGAAACAAATAACAATCAACGCATATCAGCTCTTCAAGCGAAGAGGCGCGTTTCTAAGGTCAATGGTTCCGGACGGCACTAATGTTGTTGGCGTTGTCGTAAGATAACGTCAGTTCATACGAACTGACGTCATCTTACGTGATCACGTGACACAAACACGTCATCTTACATGATCTCGTTACACGAAATGACGTCATCTTACGTGATCACGCTGCACGAAATGACGCCATCTTACGTGACCACGTAACACGTCATCTTGTAAGTCAACCTCTCCCTACAGCAGCGCGCTTTCCGGGCCCGTGCAGTGCTGTAGTCGAAAGCAAGCTCCATATGGCAAGCGAAAGCTTCTGAAGTCTCACATTGAGAATACTCGCAAGCGACCGTCTGTGGAAGCTTCGCACGTTGAGGTTTTTGTTGAGATCGAGCCATCGTGTTCCATTAACTATAGTTGAAGTTATCGTTCAATAAAGCCCTAAAAAATATGAATGTAGTTGGTGTAGACATCAAGATCTAATCAAAAATGCGGTTTGACGTCGTTTAATTAACGTGTATATACAAGTGTAGAAAAAAATGAGTTATTTGTGCATAGATGTTTACAAAAGTGTTTATTATTCGACATAGGACTTTGGGAGAAGGATGTGTTCAGATTTTTCTTCATGAGCGCAAATATACCTGACGCAATAAATAGTGACGATTTCATCGTCCCAGTGGTGAGCAGGTGATTTCTTGCTCGAAACAATGATGCCATTTCATAAACCAAGTTCTGTGACATATGCTTTTCCAATGTCTGGTCACTATTTTGTAAACCTTTCAGTCCAAACGAGTATACTTCTGTTTGTTTTTGTTAGCTTAGGAGGGGGTCACAGAGCCTATCTTTTTGTCTTCCTCTAGGACAGACGTACAGAGTTATACCGCAACACGCATCTGTGGAGCACACAGAGCTATCGCTCTCCTGTTGGCGGTACAGTAGCAGACGACACAACGCAGCTCCGTAGTCTATCGAGGGCACGGCTAGCCGCGGCCCGTAGCGCGGCCGTTCAGACTAGGGAAATGGTTTTGAAGAACCGAGAAATGGTATCTTGTGTACAATAATCACATGTCGTTAGTATACTAGTATTCTACTTGCTAAGCCAAATAAATATTTGCAGCTTGTGAGAATATGTTTGCGTGACGATTTACCGTTCACACTCCTGACGGATGCTAGCGAATCCTTCATGTTCGTGGCTCGCAGTTATCGGTACCCCCTCGGAGTGACTTCACCATATATATTTTTTCTTGCTTGCAGGACATCATAAAAATCACAAACACGCGAGAAAAAATAAATCTTATGAGTACGCGTGATTTTGAGCTTCGCAGCTCTAAAGATGCCCGGTAAATGTCGTCCAGCTTGGGAAGAAACTAATCCTTTTTGTTGGAGTTAGACTATCGTATGCTGGCAGCTCGTTTCCGGTTTGTTTTGTCTATACTCCGTTTCACCGTAATTTGGCAACCCTCAGTCAGGGCTGCTGTGAGGGAATCACAGTCGCAGAGCAAAGCACGTGACAGCTACTTTTAGGAGCAGTACTATGGCACCTGCAGCGCGTCTCCGACTGGTGTGGTTAGCGTCTTATGCTGGCCATACATCAAAAGTGGTTCCGAAGTGCAACAAATGACGTACGGAGTGTCACGCTGTTGCATCTCGCGATCCTGGCAATTCATCGTAGAAAGGCTGGCGAAAGCCACGAGGGAACACGAGTGTCGCTGTCGTCATGGCGTCCCAACGAAAAGCAATTATACAATTTCGACGTTTTTGTAATTCGGTAATTTAAATTACTGTATACAATTTTTAAGAAAGTAAAGACATCATAACCAAATAGGAACTTCCGTGCTAAAACATGCAGTGCGAAGTGAAGACAACTACTATCTTTTTTTTTTTTTCTTGATGTCCACAAAAAAAAAAGGCTATGCAGCATCGATCCTACCGTTTTTTTGTTGTTTTTTTCGCACATTATGAGATGCACGAAAGTAACGACGTAAAAGCGCTGTAGAGACGATATAAAAACGAAAATTTAAGGGAATCGAGCTTTGTAGTGGAACGGAAAAAAATAAATAATTAACGACTTTTTACGGTAAACACTTCACCTCTAAGTAGAACTTCAAAAAAGTGACGGTTACGCGCTTTCATGGCCATTTCAACAAAGTTGGGAGAACGATGTATTGCATCTTGTGAATAGACATGTGGAGCAGCATGTTTAAGTTAGAGGTATTGTGTGTAATCGCTGCGCAGTACCTGCCAAAAGAAGATATTATTTGGGCACAGTCTCAACCGTTTCCGTCTGTCTGTGCTACGAATACAGCAACTCTTTTCGTAGAAGTGATGAGGAAATGGCGTGCCCTTGATGATACGATTGTGATTATGAAATAAAATTTTTAATCAGCCAATAATTGCGACCTGTCCGGTCGCCTGGAACCCCGACAACAACTATCGTTCTCTGGAAAGTTAATTCTAATATTTACACGTTTTGTGGAGTTCATCGAGCGAATAAGAATGTTCCAACAATGAGCTAAACCTACACGAGTTCCCGAATCCAACACGGCGCTTTTGAATTTTAGCGCCGTAGATAGTTCTGCGAACAGTGTATACTTCTGTGCAAATATTCGTCTAACAGTTTTGCAACGTTGGAAAGCATCGGAATGATTCAGAATCACTGCGGAGTTGATACTCGGGAAGATAAGACGGGCACTTGGGAGAAACGGAGCGTGGCATTTGAGACAGGGGCACAACCGGGGGACAAACGTGCTACAATCGCATACCCTTCGGTATGCGATTGTAGCAC